AGAAACGAATTAAAAAGAGTAAATACGACCGTAAGCATTACAGGTAATTAACACGAAGTGAAAAACTCACTCCACGTCCCGCGCTCGGAGCTTGGGAAGGAGTCGACTTGCGTGGCCAGAGACTTCTCGTGAACGCAGGCTAGGGCGCATCCACCATCGCCGCTTTTTCTTTTGTTGCCATGCCGCCGTCAACGCAGACAATGCAAACATGGAAGCTAGAATTGCCACAACTTGCTTCTCTCCGCTCAGCCGGTCATAGGGATCCATGACCGCAAGAGGAACCGATACAACTTTAATCGAATACGAAAAGGAAAAACGGGATGGCGGGATCGCCGAGCTCTCCTTTTGCGCGCCGAGTTCTGTTGGTGAGGAGGCTGAAGAGGCGTCGGCGTCGTCCAAGATTGCTCGCAACAAGCGGCAAAAAAAAAAAAAAAAAAAAAAAACCTTGTAAAGGCTGGATAGATGGACGCTAACCAGAGCTAACCAGACGCCAATGTTACTAAAACACTCAGTTGGGAAACTCACCGTCGAAACCTGGGCCGCTGGCGTCCACCGAGACCGAGCTAAATGCGACAACAGCGCCACTCTTCATCGTTTGTCTGTACTGTGGTCACCTTGAGCTTTTTGAAAGCCTGTTTTCGCGTAAAAACAAACGGAAAAGACTCTTTTTGTATGAAATTTATTGGAGTTTAGTACAAAAAGAGGGGCGCGTTATGTTTTTAAAATCTTTAGTTTGCAGGGTTTTGCGGTACAATTATTATTGTTTTTATACAACCATGCCTCAGCGGTCCTTTCAGGTAGCGCGTCCGGACCTAGGTGCATTTTAACTTCGGTGGTGCGACGCGGCGCGTCTGCCGGGGAGACGGCGGTGGCACCCCTGTAACCTCTTCCGCTGAATCTGTTCTTAGAGCCAAAATAGAAGTCACGTGCAGTTCCTCGAGTGACCGCTGCGGGAGAAATGGTGGCGTTGTGTTCGTCATTAGCTCGGTGCTCGGAGACAGATTGGGGCCACTTTTTCAAAACTGTCTCTATGGGAGTTTCCCAACTGAGTGTTTTAGTAACGTTGCCAGACGCTAACCATATACGGCTCTGACGCTAACGGCTGTAGCCTTTATAACGGGATGTTACTCAAGCCACCTAGCCTAGGAATCAAAAACCAAAAGTATGATCTTGCTCATCCACTCTGCAGTCTCGTAACTATCACCAGTGGTGTGGTATATCACCAGGATGACCTTTGGGAATCTGGCAAAAAAAAAAAACTATCCTAAAAACCTCACCCCAGTCGGCGTTACGCCAGCACCCGGCCCACTGCCACTGGGAAAGAGGGTCGAGACTTTGACCCAGAGCCACGCGGGAGGGGGTCTTAATTTTCCTCTGTCCTGCCTGTTCCCAGCCGTGTTAGCTATGGTGAATTCCAAACGCAGATCTCGAGTGCTCCAAAAGCGCTCCGTTTGGAGCGCGCATATTCCACATCGCAGATCTGGCTCGAGTTGGTCATCTTCCGCTCGTAGATCTCTGTCAGAGCCCGCTCCACGGAGCGCACCAAACTCCGCCGAACTTGCTCTGCGGGATTTCGCAGCAGTGTTGCCAGATGTAGAAAAAAAAAAGTCAGCAGATTAATCCCCCAAAAGTCAGTAGATTTGCACAAAATCAGTAGATTCTACGAAATCTGTGTTTTGCCATGTTTTGCTATTTCCATTAAACCACACTTCGAAGGAATAGTATAGAGTAACAAATACCATGGTAATATACACAAATAAAAATGAAAAAAAAAAAAAAAAAAAAAAAACAAGACCAGCTCTTGAGTTTACCTGCTTTATGGAGGACAAAGTGAAATGGCACAGTGAATATTTTTTTTTGTTTTATCAGCACTGACGAGTGTTGCGATTTTGAGGATTATTCTTTGAAATCGAGCCTGAGCCACTTTTGAGATCAACAGATGAGTGCGACAGTGCGACATCTACCTGTCGCTATTATTGAAACGGAACCAAAACAAAGACTTTCCGGCAAGTGCGCGTACATGTCCAATGGAAGTCCTCTGCAAGCTGCCATCTTTCCTTACTGGGCTGCGCGGTGCTCTGCGCCAACGCAACGCTGTTGGCGCAGAGCACTGTTGAGGCTACGCGTCGTCTGCTACGGGCTTATTATTTCTTTTTCGCCTGACCCAAAGTTTGCGTTCGAACGTGGAGAAACTTAATTCGATAGCTTTTTAGGCCACCGAGGAATAACATTATATCATTTTCTTGCCAGAGCCTGCCAAATGAAAGTAAAGAACTGAAATTCGGATGTCGATCCCATGCATTCCGCCGGACGAATGAATGAAAATGGCGACCCTCTCCGCTCAGCTCGGAGCAGCCGAGAGTTCAGGCGCATGGGCTCACGCCTCTCGCTCTGCGCCGCGGGCTGATTGGCCCACTCGGGAGAGGGACGTTACGGCGGCGAGATCATAGACGGGCCACCCTCTCCCCATGCTCCCAGTGCTTCATTTTTAATTCTGGGAGAATATGAGTTTCCTTTATGGGCGACCCAGGGAACTGAAGGGGTCAAATAATAAATTTTAATATGTTTACAAAAAAAAAAAAAAAAGAAGTCAGTAGATTTTCTTTTCAGTGAATCAGTAGACCCGGAACGAAATCAGTAGATCTACTGATAAATCAGTAGACCTGGCAACACTGTTTCGCAGATCTCTCCGGAAGTTGACAGAGCGGCCCACGCAACCTGCACGCAACAAGGTAGGGCCCACGTGATTTCCTTCTAAACCGGCAGTGCGCATGCGCGGCGAGGTTGGAGAGGACTCGGCGGGCCGGTCGGGCCACAGTTTATCATATAGACCTTTTCATTCTCCGCCACATGGGCACTGCCATCTTGGAATCACGTGATGCGGCCGCCATTAGGTTGCTTCAACTTGTTGCTCCGCTCTCCCCTTCTCGCTACTCCGCGCCTTGGCAAATGCGTTAAATTTGTGTTTGTCGTCGCGTTTCACCGCGTTTCCTACTTTACTCCGGAAAGTACCACGTAATTGCATTACATCATTATGTGTACAAATTCTGCAGTTAATTTTGTAACAAGTTTTGACTATTTTTATCGTCGGCGTGTCGGATCCATGTTAAGAGGTTATATGGCACATAAGTCAGCGTTAGCGCTCACGCTCATTGAGTACATCTATGACTATAACAGAACGAGTGTTCAAAGGTTAGTAACCTAGGAGAACTTAGGTTTGCTTACTAATAGTGGCGAGACATTCGCAATAGGAAGAAAAAGTTAAGTCCATATAATCGCGCATTTAGGATCTCAAGAAAGGTGACAAAATTACTCGGCATAAATAGCCACGTGTGTTTCCCGAAAGCATCGTGTTTTGTATTTATAACATATCGAGAACAGTTTATTTTGATTACGGTATATGTGGGAACTTGTGGACAAAATAGAAGACGAACGTTTAATTTTTTTTTATGCTAGAAATAATGGTACGTCAACGTCAGGCAATTTATTTACAATTTCACCTACATCTGTTTGACGTTCTTAATCGTTTTTGCGATATAAACATTCGCTTGATCGGTTTATATATGAATTCCAAGAAACTATACCGTGCTTGGTCCCATGCCTTTTAATTGCCTAAATGATTTTCTTGAGATAACCGTGCAGTTCATTTCAATTATTTAATTTCAACAAAATATTGCGACTCCCCGTGTAAGAAACTGTCACAGACAGCTTGAGAGTGCCTGGGGTACAAAATATGTGACACCGAAAAGAAACTGTCCGCATAAAAATCGCCCGAGTGCAGCGTTGACAACGGCGAATATATAGGGATTTACTTTCAGTAGCTGGCGACGCCGAAATCTAAGAAGCGCATCGGTTCAAACCAGTAAAGAGCTTTCTGCATTGGTTCATGGCGTGGCGCCTGGCGCTCTTCAGCCGAACTTTCCATATATTATTTCTTTTGCGCCATTTAATTTTATTTGGCAAATTTTACTGAAGATGAATTTCAGACTATATTTCAGGGGCAATTCACTTATCTTATATCTTGAGAATGTCGTAAGCAGATGTCCATACAACAAATAGTCTATTACATAAGCCCAATATTGTGAAATGTTGATAATGAGTACTGTGGGGACCCTCTCCCTGGCTCCTCCGTGACCTCGCCGGTCCCTGTCGCCGTGCTGCCGGGCGCTCCTTCGTTCCCCGTGACCTTCCCGTTTCACGTCGCCGTCCGGTCGTGGAGCGTCCGAGCTCTCCGGGAGGGATGGGGCAAGCGCCCCCTCACCCAGCGCTGACGCCGGAGGGTCGGTCGCAGCAAGGTTCCCGATTGGACGGTCGGCGGGACAAGGACTTGGGAAGGTCTTAAAAGGGGAACGAAGACAAAGGAAGGGGTCTTGGGCTGCCGACTTCGAAAGGGACCGGTCAGGGAGGTCATTGGGACGACAGCGACGAGCGGCTCGCAGACGACGTGAGTTTGAGTAAACTCTTTTGAACACGCACTGTGTCGGTGACTTCTTGGGGAGCGAGCGAGGCACGTCCCGATCGGGCGTCGATCAGGTAGCGACCCACATGTGGGTCGCTACCTGATCGACGCCCGATCGGGACGTGCCTCGCTCGCTCCCCAAGAAGTCACCGACACAGTGCGTGTTCAAAAGAGTTTACTCAAACTCACGTCGTCTGCGAGCCGCTCGTCGCTGTCGTCCCAATGACCTCCCTGACCGGTCCCTTTCGAAGTCGGCAGCCCAAGACCCCTTCCTTTGTCTTCGTTCCCCTTTTAAGACCTTCCCAAGTCCTTGTCCCGCCGACCGTCCAATCGGGAACCTTGCTGCGACCGACCCTCCGGCGTCAGCGCTGGGTGAGGGGGCGCTTGCCCCATCCCTCCCGGAGAGCTCGGACGCTCCACGACCGGACGGCGACGTGAAACGGGAAGGTCACGGGGAACGAAGGAGCGCCCGGCAGCACGGCGACAGGGACCGGCGAGGTCACGGAGGAGCCAGGGAGAGGGTCCCCACACCTCCCCTCCCTCAAGGCTCGGACCCCGGGGGGCCCGAGTCGGCGAAGGGTGGACGGTCCCCGGCCAGGAACTCCTCCAGCTCCGCCATCACCGTGTCCTCGGCGGGCGGAGGCGGAGGCGGGAGGGGTTCGGCCGGGCAGGCGAGTGGCGCCAGCGGGGGCGGCAGCGTGTCCGAGACCGCGGTGGCGGCGGTCGCGGCGGTAGAGGCAGCGGCGGTGGAGGCTGCAGAGGTGGCCCCCTCCTCAGGAAGCTCCCGGGCCGCCGGGGCCAGGAGGTCGGGCCGGTCCCTCTGGAGGAGCCGCAGCGCCGCCTCGACGCACGTGGGGGGGCCCACCGCCCTCAGCAGCTCCTGGTGGCGTGGGCTGGCCTCGTGGGTCTCGCGGTGAACCACCGGCACCCGGCAGAGCCAGCAGGGGTCCTGCAGGTCCGGGGCCAACTCGAAGGCGGGCAGCGTGTGCCCCAGGAAGGGCGGCGGGACCTCGACACCGGGCGTGTCGTGGACCGGTCTCGGCTGGTCCCGCCAACGCTGGCGGGACACGAAATGGAGGTCCCGCTGCCCGTCCCATGTCGTCCAGGTTGCCACGGTGTGGCATGGCCGCCGGCTCCAGGCCCGTCCCCCCTGCGGTGACGGTCCCTCTCTTCTCCTGGAAGGAAGTCGTGCGGGTCGAAGAGGCCTGCTCGAGCCTGGTCCTCCCCGCGCAGGCGGGCCCGACCCACTCTGCGGTGTGCCAGCGCGGTGGCTCGCGGAATCCGCGGAGCCCGCCTGGCGCTGTCCGGACCCAGCGTCCGACGCCCGATCGTGGGGCCACCTCCATGGTCGCCGACCTCGGGAGTCGGGCCGCCTCGACCCGGGGCGCCCACCCCGGGTACTTGGGGGAGCATTAGCGCCCCCGTTCTGGCCTGGCGGGCCTCCTGGGAGGGGTCGTCCCCGTCCAGCGCCGGCACGTGCTCGGCGTCCGGCGTCGTTCCAGAAAGGCATTCTGTGGGGAGGAAATTCAGTTAAAAACACAGAAATGGATTAAACCCTGCGCCGCAGATTGTAGTGACGGCAGAAACTCCTGTTAGAAGTGAGCTCGCCGACAGTGTCATGCACCGTCCGGCCAGCGCGCTCCATCCGTGCTCCGGACTGCGTCTGCCGTCCGGCCGAGACGGGGCTTTCCCCGTCCTCATCAGCCGCTTCTCGTCCATCGCCGTCCTGGTCGCGAAGGTAGTACACCTTTAAATCGGTCACGTGAACAGGGCCAGACTCCTCGGTTGTGTTCGGCCGAGTGAGTCTGTACGTAAGCCGCGACACTCGCGTACTTACCTCGTAGGGCCCATCCCACTTCGGAGCCAGCGATGCTGCGAATCCGCAAGCTGCATTACTCAGTGGGTGCATTCTCCTCAGAACCAGGTCTCCGACGTTGTACTCCAGGTGGCGATGGTTCTTGTCGTACTGCGCCGCCTGCTCGATCCTTGCGGCATCGAGGTTCTCTCTAGCGTCGTGCAACGCGCCCGTCAAGCGGCTTTTGAGCCCGGCCGCGTACGTAGAGAGTGGGCGACCCGATGCCCCGTCGCTGTTTCTTAACCCGTTCTCTAGTGGAGACGGGAGCTCCTTACCCAGGTTCAGGAACGCTGGTGTAAACCCGGTTGATCGGTTCACTGACGTCCGAATGGCGAAACCCATCTCGACGATGTGTTCGTCCCAGTCCCGGTGTCTCTCCGTCAGCGCGATCAGCATGCTCTTCAGGTTGCGATTCACTCTCTCAGTGATATTGGCCTGAGGATGGTACGGTGTCGTCCTCTTGTGCTTAATATTGAGGGCCAAGCAGGAGTCCACGAAGACTTTACTAGTGAAATAACTAGCATTATCGCTCACTAGACACTTGGGCGTTCCGAAACGCAGGAAAGTGTCTAACAACTTTTCCCAGATTCGCTCCGAGACCAGTTTTCTCAAGGGGTACAGCTCCACCCACTTCGAGAAATGGTCAGTGACCACCAAAAGGTACTGATTTCCCCGAGGACTCCTCGGCAGCGGGCCAACGATGTCGCACGCGACTATCTCCCACGGGTAGTGACTCATCACCGGCTGCATCAACCCCGGAGGTTTCCCGCCTCTCGGTTTCGCCTTCTGGCAAGCTGGACAGCTACGACAGTACCGAAATACGTCCTGCCTCATTCCCGGCCAGGTCGCGACGCGACATAACTTTTGAAAAGTCTTGCTGCCGCTGCCATGACCGGCCAGAGCCGAGTCGTGGAAGTATCTGATAAACTTCCTGCGTAGCTTCCTAGGAATCACCACCCTGAAGGGAGGGTCGTTCCCCTCCTCTTCGTCGATCGCGGGGATATAGCGGAGCAATAACCCATCTTCGCCCAGCAGATACGAATCGAACGGCGCGCCGATTCGTCCGTCAGTGTTCCCGGTGTCAACCGCAATTTCCGCAAGTTTTCCCAACACCCGCTGACAAAATCCATCTGCTCCCTGGGCCTCGACAAGCTCTGCCTTGCTTACCACTTCCCCCCAAGCCACGATCCTTTGCTCCCTCGTAGAGTGACCCACCGCTGCTACGAACTCCGGCTGCTTCCCCTCCTCCCAGCCATTCTCTCGCTTTCCCGCGATCGCGGGGGGCTTCTCCCCCGCGCACGGAGGTATTCTCCCTCCTCTCCCGCGCTCTTCGCCCCCCAACGGTCGCGTCTCCTCCTCCCGACCATCGTCCTGGGGCGCCCGAGAGAGCGCGTCCGCAACCTTGTTGCTCGAGCCCTTTCGGTACTCGACAGTGTAGGAGTAGCGCTGCAGGGTCAGAGCCCAGCGAGCCAGCCTTCCCGCTGGCTCCTTCAACCTCTGGATCCATGTTAGCGCAGCGTGATCCGTCTGTATGACAAAAGTCGTACCGTCTAGATAGAGATCGAACTTTTTCAAAGCGAACATGACGGCCAGCCCCTCCTTCTCCGTTACGCTGTAGTTGCGCTCGGGCGGTGTAAGCGTTCGGCTCGCGAAAGCCACAGGGCGCAACTGCCCATCGTGCTCCTGTAACAACACCGCTCCGACACCGTAGTCGCTCGCGTCCGTCTGTACGACGAAATGCCGGTTTAGATCTGGTAAATGTAAGCTCGCTGTATCAGCTATTGCCTTCGCGAGAGACGCGAAAGCCGCGTCGTGCTCCCTCCCCCAGATCCACCTTGAGTTTTTCCGCAGCAATTGGTTCAATGGCTGTGCTAGCTCCGCGCATCCCGGAATGAACTGCCGATAAAAACCGACCATCCCTAGAAACCTCTGAAGGCTCTTTACGTCACGCGGCGCTGGATAATTGAGGATGGCCCCCAACTTATCGTCGTTCGGCTTCAACGTACCGTTGTCAACGATAAAGCCTAAGAGATTAACCCTCGAGGCTGCGAGCTGTACCTTATCTGGGTTGATCGTCAACCCAGCCTCCCACATTCTACACAGAACGATCTCGAGATGAGTTAGGTGCTCTTCGAACGAGTTCGAGAATACTACGACATCGTCCATGTAAGCCATGGCAAAGTTAAACTTCGCGTCCCCCAGCACGATGTCCATCAGCCGCTGAAAACTAGACGGCGAATTCGATAATCCGAACGGCAGGCGGGTAAACTCAAACAACCCCCGGTGACAAGTGAACGCTGTCTTTTGGACGTCGTCTGGTGCTACTTGGATCTGCAGGAAGCCTCTGCTGCAGTCCAGCGTGGTAAAGACCTTCGCGCTACCCAGCGAGTACATGATGGACTCAATAGATGGAAAAGGATACGCGTCCCTTTTGGTCATCTCATTGAGTCGGCGGTAGTCTACGCAAAGACGGGCTGTCCCGTCTTTCTTCGGCGCTAGCACTACCGGAAATGCCCACGGGCTTTGCGACGGCCGTACGGCCCCCGTGTCCAACATTTCATTGAGAGCCTTATCTAGGAGAGCTCGCTTGTGCACACTCAGCGGTCTGGGGTTACAACCCCACGGCCTAGCGTCTCCCGTGTCTATCTCATGTTGTAAAACATGCGTGACTCCCGGCCTCTCAGTAAACATAGCTGCGTGTCTAGACAAAGCGTCCGCTAACGATCGCCTTTGTTCGGCCGGCCCGTCGAAAGAAGCCACGATCTGTTCAACGTTATGTGGTACGGCCCGCGCAGCTAACACCTGCTCCTCGCGCAGCCTAGCGAGCGAACATTCCGATCCCTTCCCCAAACTAGGTGGGGCTACAAAGGGGATGAGAGGGGTCAGCGGGTTGTAGTGGTACCCGTTATTCTTTAGGTCTAGAATGATCCCCTCTCGGCAAACGAAGTCCTGTCCCAAAATAACTGGGATTGACATGCCCGGCAGGTAAACAAAGCGCTGCCTCCTTCGCTTGCCGTCGAGGCCGAGGTGAAGGCGAACTGCGCATTGCGCCTCGGCCGATCCTGCCGCTAAACGCAACGGAGTTGCAACTTCGCGCATGCACAGGTTTCTTTTGCGGCAGTCCGTGTACACGGAGTCTCCGATGAGAGAGAGGGTTGAGCCGGTGTCGACTAATGCTAGATAATCTTTACCACCGATCTCTACCCGCACGTACGGACCCCTTTCAGGTGTCGAGTCCTGAGCCCGACATGCCGACGGCGCGAACGCTACCCGATCGCTGCCCGCGACTTCCGCCCCGTCGGCGAACTGACCCGGGGCCTCGGCAGCGGCCGGCAACCTTGATTCGGGCAACCCGATTACTGGCGCCGGCCCCGCGCGTTTTCCGAGTATCCGGATTCGGCCGCTGCCCACGTGCATTGCCGCCTGATGTGCCCAGGCTGGTGGCACCTGAAGCACCTGACTTGGGCGCGGTCGTCGCGTGCTACAGTTGATCTGTCGCTAACGGCACGCGGCGCGCCGCCTCGCCGAGCGCTGTTGTCGCTGCCGCGAGCGTCGTAACGCGTCACGTCTCCGCGGTATTCGACCGCGCCGCCCCCCCTACGGGGTTGCGCCCCGGCTGAGTGTGCGCTGGCTACCCTGCGCCTTTGCTCGAAGCCGAATGGGTCGAGGGCCCGAGGTGGAATGGCTCCGCCATTCCCGCGATCCGCGACGGCCACGTACGCCGTCTGCGACTCGACGTAACCGTCCGCGGCGCGTCCCGTCCACGCGCAACCCGGCTCCAAGGACTCCTCGGCTCTTGGAGGGGGCCGATACTGCAGTTCAGCGAGCAATCCCGCTTGAACCGTGCGCGCCTCTCTCGCCAGTGCTTCGAGGTCTGCGAAATCGCGTCCTCGAAGATACGCCTTAAATCTGGGGTGGCACTGGCGGATCGCCCTCGCTACTTTCTCCGCGTTAGGCGCGGAGGGTTCGGCCCGCGAGTAGAGCTCCTGGAGTGCACGGACATACTCCACGAGGCTCTCATCCGGGTGCTGAGTGCGGCTCGCCAGCTCGTCGCGAATCCGCATCTCGTAGTCGGGAGGAAGGAATTCCTCCCGAAACCGCGCCCGGAAGTCCGCCATTGATTGGAACGGCGTTTGCAGCCGTCTCCAACGCGCGGCGTCGCCCGTCAGTGCAATCGGCACGATCTGCAGCAGGGCTGTTGCGTCCGATGCCCCCAAAGCGGTTACGTACGCGTCTAAATCCTGCAGGAAATCGTGCACCGATTTCCCGTCGGAGTACCCCGAGTACGTCGGCGTAGGCACGCTCAACCGCGGGCGGGGTATCGGCAAAGGCGCGGCACTCGCGACGCTTGGGGCTGTCCCCATCTGCCGCGACATCGCGTCCATCATCCGCGTCATTGCGCGCATCAGTTCACCGGCGTCTAGCACGCCTTCCGTCGCTGGTGAAGCTGGGGGCGAAGTCCCAGTCTCCGGGGGCGCGCGTGAGCCCGAGTCTCCGCTCATCGGAGCAGCCCCCGCGCTATCTCGCCCAGGCTCGTCCTCCGACGAACCGTCCTTACTCGCGCCGGTGGTCGACCTGGTGTCGACCATTGTCACTTTCTACCAACTCGAACACAATTCGCAAAATTCGAGCACGCTAACCTCCAAAATCCGCGAAAACGCAAAGTGCGCGACCTCTCAGGGAGGAGCGAAAGCAACGGCCAACCGATCGGGCCCCACGTTGGGCGCCAGATTATGTGGGTCGCTACCTGATCGACGCCCGATCGGGACGTGCCTCGCTCGCTCCCCAAGAAGTCACCGACACAGTGCGTGTTCAAAAGAGTTTACTCAAACTCACGTCGTCTGCGAGCCGCTCGTCGCTGTCGTCCCAATGACCTCCCTGACCGGTCCCTTTCGAAGTCGGCAGCCCAAGACCCCTTCCTTTGTCTTCGTTCCCCTTTTAAGACCTTCCCAAGTCCTTGTCCCGCCGACCGTCCAATCGGGAACCTTGCTGCGACCGACCCTCCGGCGTCAGCGCTGGGTGAGGGGGCGCTTGCCCCATCCCTCCCGGAGAGCTCGGACGCTCCACGACCGGACGGCGACGTGAAACGGGAAGGTCACGGGGAACGAAGGAGCGCCCGGCAGCACGGCGACAGGGACCGGCGAGGTCACGGAGGAGCCAGGGAGAGGGTCCCCACAGTACTTAACTTAAAAATATTTTCTAGTTGGCCCTAAGTTGGTCTATAAAAACATTTCTCTAACTTTTTTTTTAATAAAACAGGCTGATACAATATCACTTCGTTTTCATATTCTCTACGTCATTATAGGAGACTTTTCCATAAAAGCTTGGTGTACAAAAACCAAGCATCGAGTAATAAACTTGTCCGTTTATCTGTTCTTCATGATTCAGTGCATTGTTAATTATGTTCTCAACCTGCATCTTCACTAAGCACTCATGCATTAAAATTTGTTGCAAGATGAACAGATATAATCTCTGACTTGAGCGCGAGCTATCGACCTGCCGTACCACACGGTGCGCGCGCAGCCAAAGCTCGGCGGCACGCAACGAGCGCGTACTGAAGAGGCTGGAGGCGGAGCTTGTCCTACTTTTTATTTATTTTATTTTTTTCTCGAAACTAGTTAGTGTCCGCGTGTACGGCCATGGATGATGGTAATTCTCCCTGTGCGTCAGCGCAGTTGTTTCACCGCCAAACATCGTCGAAATGAAAGATGGACATCATCAGACGCACTTCATGTTCGTGAAAATGCTCGCAATTTAGACTCGAAACCAATTACTGATTCTCCAAGTGGCTCAGTACCATCGTTTCATTCGCTGTGTGCTACAACAAGAAAACCTGTATCACAAAAGAAGCGAAAACGGCACGAAATAGCAACACAATCGCGTGCACGTTGATACCGAAACCAACCAAATTGAAGCAACCTCATGGCGGCGAGTGCGCCAGCGCCCTCTACCCGACAGTCAGGCAACTACTGGAATGAAAAGGTCTATACAGTTTGCCCACTGTAGAATAAGCCTGTGGCAACGTTACTAAAACACTCAGTTGGGAAACTCCCATTCACACAGCTTTGAAAAAGTGGCCCCAATCTGTCTCCGAGCACCGAGCTAATGACGAACACAACGCCACCATTTCTCCCGCAGCGGCCACTCGAGGAACTGCACGTGACTTCTATTTTGGCTTACAGAACAGATACAGTTCAGAAAAAGTTTATTGACGTCGATTCAATGAAAATGGACACATACATAATACACACACTGGTCTTCTAGCTTATTTATAGTTATTGGACCCTTCGGTACAATGGGTACACTTTACACGAGAACCGAACACACTATATCATCCCTCACGCAAAAATAGCGCACCAAAGACGCCGATTCAGGAAAAAAAAAAAGATACATGAGGAGAGATAAAAACGGCAAACTCGGGTGCCATTTCACTAAAGGCCTTATCAAACCAAGGGAAGTGGCGCGAAAGAAAGAAGGATTCGGCCGTTGGCCAAACGGACGTAGAGGCAGGACCATCGTCTCAGGAACTCCTGCTCTCCCAGCCAAAAGAGTTCGCGGTCTAGATAACGGTACAAGGAACCACGAAGACGGGACAGCAGAGGCCACATGGCTCGCGTACGACGCTGCTGGCCCACTGCAGCACAACGATTTTGCCACAGCACATGCTGGCCGACTGCTAAAAGGAGGAGGGCGAAGCCTCCTCGAGGATAGCGGCGGCCCGAGACGTAGTGCGCAATGCCCAGAGCGCGAAAACCATGGTGCACGAGACGCCAAAATGATCGCGCAACGCTGCAAGTCGCAAAAACGTGGGAGTTCGTCTCCACTTCTCCACAGTTCGGGCACCGGGAATCAGGCACCATGCCCCAACGTTGCAGAC